TAAAAAAAAAATAAAAAATAAAAATAAAGTTTTAAAAATGGACAAAAAAAAAAAAAAAAAGAAAAAAAAAAGACCTTCAGTTGTCAGCTCACTGTGTCTGTATTGATTGCTAATAAATATGTTAAAGATAAGAGTTGATATTTTGAAATATTGACATAGCCCCACAATGTGATTTAGCTGTATATCATTTATTCGTTTCTTACCTGCTTAGTTTTGAACCTATAATAAAACCAAAACTGATCACATCACATGAAATACACTGTATACATTATAAAACAGACTTGTAATTCAAAAAAAACGAAAGCATAATGTCAAAGATATTTGCGTTTGTTATTTTTTTAAAAACATGCTTCTTTAAAATGTGTATCTCATAGAATCTGTTTGATTGTTAAAATATTTGCATTGTCCACTACCTCATCTAGAGTGCACCAGTTGTGACTGGCTGCCCATCTTGTTCACTAGAGTGCATCAGTTGTGATTGGCTGCCAATCTTGTTCACTAGAATGCACCAGTTGTACCTGGCTGCCAATCTTTGTCACTAGAGTGCACCAGTTGTAACTGGTTGCCAATCTTGTTCACTAAGAGTGCACCAGTTGTGATTGGCTGCCATTCTTGTTCACTTTAGAGTGCATCATTTGTGACTGGCTGCCAATCTTATTCACTAGAATGGACAAGTTTGTAACTGGCTGCCAAGCTTGTTCACTAGAGTGCACCAGTCATGTCTGCTCTGTCAGTCTTGTTTATATACATTGCTTACAAATTACTTTTTAGACTTACTCTGTATAAGTTCAGTTAAACGTGCCATGGGATCTAAGTATTTTGATATGATTATTATTTTTTCTTAAAATCGGGTTTGTAAATATATCAGAGGTAAAAAAAATAATTGTATACAAAAAATTAGTGTACAAATATCACTACAATGCACACAAACAAAATAGACAGCCCTCTTACAGTTGCCACAAAATTATAAGAAGTGAACATTAAGTTTAAAATCCATCTACTAATTACTATAAATTACTATAATGAATTTTTTTTAATGTCTTCAGTAAAAAAATACATTTTTTATAGTTATGTAACAATTCAATATTTAAAAAGAAGCCAAGGGAAGCCAAACATGAAACATTTTACAAAATTGATTGCTAATAGAAATAATTTTCTATTTTTTTGTGTGAATACAATGTTCTACAGTAATGATTGCTACCATTGATGCAACACCAAGTTGGCTATTCTCTAATTGGAATTTTTAAATTATTTTTTTTTAAATGCCTAGAAACAGAAAAATATATTTGATTTCAACTTTAAAATTAAATAATGTGCAATGTGTTGAGTAGTCAAAAGAAATGGGCTTTGATGTGTTACAAATATTTTTTGAATGCAAAAAGAGCTAAAAGATTAACGTTCTGCAGCTGAATCATCTGACCTAACATCTAACAAGCAACTCAGATGTTAAGAAAAATAAGGTACAAAACTTTTTTATTTCTGTATCAGCAATCAAAGCACTTCAAAAGGGGCCACACGTTGATGTTTAGATAATCTATGCCAGGTGCCACAACTAATGCTGCAACCGCACGTTGAAAACACTTGAGCTTCTTCACACACACATTTTTAAAGCTTTCTCTTGTGAGTTTAGGCTTAAATTTAATTATTTAATGACCGTTTGTATTTAAGATTTTTTGAGTGATCGAAGAAGATTTTATTTATTGGGGCTGATGGTTAAAAAAACAATACAAGACTTAGCACTATCCATATTTTGCAAAACCTGTAAATAGTTACTTTCAATAAGAGATGTAGACAAGCCGGGGCGATGACTCAGTAATATAATCAACTTGTTCATATTCTGTTCATTGACAAGGTTTCACTGGTATCTCATGGGAGTCTAAGCCATACTACTCAACACACGCTTGAAACAGAGAGTCTCACCTCTACTTTTATAATATTCTTTAAGATAGTTTCTTTTTTTTCATGGAAAACAGACCAATAGGATGTAAACAGTTCTGATGGCAGTACACGATACCCCACAAAGTGGTTGGCCCTTTTAACATCTTGTCTCAAAACTTATGTCCAGCGTACTTGTCTGGTATTTTCTTACATATTTTTACAACTTTTATTATTATTACTGTATTTTGTGACAAACTTTATATAACTACTTTTTGAATTTAAACAAAATTTAATGGTCAATAAAATTTTGCATTAGATTGTAATATTTCAATTAGTGTAACTTTGTTGTCTCTTTTTATTGTTGTGGTGTGCTTGCTTTAAGTTTAAGTTGATGTTTAACTTCACAGAGATCAAGTTTGAAGAAGACCTTGATGAGTTCAAAGTCTTTGTGTCTTTGGAACACTATGCAAGGGTCTCTCAGTAATCATTTACAAATGCCTTCATGCTAACTACTAGACCTTTGTCTGCTTAACTTAAACCTCACACAGCTTTGAAAACTCCAACAGCTCCTGCAATGTAGAATGCATGAAAGGCACATTGAAACACACACACACACACTGCTGGTCATTTACTGCATCCTGGTCTGTTTTGACTAAGTCTCGCCATGGGATCAAATAAGCAGGACAAGACAGTGAGGCTGATGAATTGAGCAATTGTCCCCCACTTTAAAAGAAATACAGCTCAAGTCAAGACTACTATTCAACTAAAAAAATGCCTTGGTCATTTTCGTGTGCTAAGGTCTAACAACACAGCTTTGAAATTACATTTTTATGGTATAAAAATCTAATTTTTACCTGAGTGAAAAAAACAATTGTTTTTAGTGTGATTTAATTTTATTCCTGCAAAAATTCTTGACCAGTATCAACCATATTGAAATGTAAGCATTCTTGACCAGTATCAACCATATTGAAATGTAAGTATTCTTGACATGTATCAACCATATTGAAATGTTAGCAATGAATGTAATTTTGAGGCATAACCCCTAAGTGGCAAGGGAAATAACCTCATTTATAAAAATATGAGATTTTCATTTAGGTGGTGAGCAGCTTTGAATAAACTTTGAGATTTACTTTTGACTCATCACATCAATTCCGAGGAACCAATTTTAAATTTAGCATTAGTAGTGTAGTGTGAATAGGCATGATTAATTTACTACAAAATTTAAAGTCAGAAACTTTATGCTTATTAAAAGGGCCATAGATTTTAAAAAGATAGGTATTAAATATAATCTAACAAGACCAAAGATTATAAAAATCAAGCCATGAGTCTGATTTGAATATGTACTGCATATTAATAACAAAACCAATTATCAAAGCTATAAAAAAATTTGCAAGTAACAATAAAGGATTGTTAATATTTAATTTATTTTTCAAAGAATCACAGACCACAGTTTCCAATGTATTCTCAGTCTTCTGGCAACAACAAATAAACTAGATGTCCCAAGTCTTTTAACACACTCACAAAATTAAATTATTCAATGAGTTGCTAGTCTCATACAGATCATATTAGTAATTAGCTGGCACTCTACATATACAAGATAGGATGTCAGCTTTCAAGATAGAAATGTCTGCATTCAAGATAGAAATGTCTGCATTCATAATTTATTCAACTATAAAACTAAACTTTTTACCATAGAATCTAACACTAATGTTGAGAATTCTTTGCATATTTTGGCTGCCATACAAATATTAAAACAGATTCCATTCCAAGAACAAGCGCAAAGGCTGACACACTGTTTTGTTTATTGAACAGCCAAAAAATATGTATAACAATGTTCTACTTAATATATAAAAGTAAAACTTACTAACAAACAAAAATCTACTTCAAATATTCACCCCCCCCCCCACCCCGCATTATAACAACTTTAACAAGAACAAGAGCAAAGGCTGACACACTGTTTTGTTTATTTAAAAGCCAAAAAATATGTATAACAATGTTCTACTTAATATATAAAAGTAAAACTTACTAACAAACAAAAATCTTCTTCAAATATTCACCCCCCCCCCCACCCCGCATTATAACAACTTTATTCCAAACCAGTGATTTTAGGAAGTGGAAAACACTCAAAATAGATTCCTTTGTCTCTTAAGATATTAGGCCTGCTTCTTTAAATAAAATGTGTCTTATTTGTCTGACAAAAATTTCTGTTAATAATTTTAACTAACACATAAGCACCCTCAACCAGCTGTCACATTCTTCACTCTGGAAATTGATGCTGCCTGTCAAAATAAAAAAAATTTGGAAATTAAAAATATCAAACTGATTCAGAATTTGATCTAAATGAAAGGGATATTTGTCTGAGTCCAATCAATGGGATATTTGTCTGAGTCCAATAAATGGGGTATTTGTCTGAGTCCAATGAATGGGGCATTTATCTGAGTCCAATGAATGGGGTATTTGTCTCAGTCCAATAAAGTCTACAGAAGTTTTAAAAATTCAATGTTCAAATACCAAATGAACAGTTCAGTACTTATTTACTGCTCAGCACAGTTTCTATAGTGCAAACACATTTTTTAAAAACTTGCTTTCTTGTCTTTTACAAAATTGTTATAAAAATCATAACATAATGGAACAAAACTGACAACGGTTGAAATTTAAAGATTTTAATAAATAAATTGATTTTGAATTAACTTGGAAATAATCAGATCAACTTTTGACTTTACATACTCTAGTGGTTCATCGCCACCCCCTAGTAGTCTCATGGTGGACACTTCATAACCTGGGCTTTGCAATGACATCTATAGTTTGCACAATCAGTGCATAAGGAGCAAATTTTAATTATCAACTTTTTTAAAACCTTGATTCATTTCACAGCATGCTTGTATTTAAATTAGTTTCCAATGTACCCATTACATTTATTTGTACTAAAATTTAAGTTAAGAGCTCACAAATACAATATCTAATATGGTCGTTTCATTCTAATATTATTCTGTGTTTAAAAAAAACAAAAAATGTGTTTTTAAAAGCAACAATGGATCCAAACAATGACAGTAGTCAGGGTGTAGGCAGACACTGATAATAATTGGAATATTTTTTTAAGGTGATGGATTTGCTGTGAGTAGTCACAAAAGTAATAAGCCTATACATACCATTCTTGCCCGCTCAACACATGTGGTGAATGCATCAACAATTCCAGAACAGTTTAGAATTTCATTTGGGTTGGTCTGATAACACTCAAGTACTTTCAGCTGAAGATCTTGGCACACTGCGCAAGTGGAGTCCTTCCTGTAGGGGGGAAATACAAATATTGCTTTTATTTAAACGCAATTTATTTATTTAGAACTAACCTTGGATGCTTTTAAAAGTCATGCATATAGTATATACAAAAAACCTTTGATTTTCTTTAAAGTGATGCATACATGCAACAAACCTTTGATTTTCTTTAAAGTGATGTGCATATGCAACAAACCCTTGATTTTCTTTAAAGTGATGTGCATATGCAACTAACCCTTGATTTGCTTAAAAGCTATGTTTATATCCAGCTGTTAAATTGGACTAAGATATCCATTCAATGTTTAGATTTAAATAAGAAATCTTTTGGTTTTGCCATAATTCTGATAAGATTCATCCAACATTTGTATTTCTATCTTAAACCACTGACAACCAGTGCAGGCTTATTATAAGTTTAACCAGCCTTATTATACTTCATAAATAATTTAAGTAATAAATCATTCGGGACATTGACTTAACTCTCTAAACCAAGGTTATATTTTAAATTACAGATAAGCAATCGCAGTGATATACTTACAAAAACTTGGCCTCAACTTCTTTAACTGCCTTAGCAAACTCTTCGTTTGTTTGCTTTTGTAGGGCTGCGTTCTGAAAATAGTGTAAGAAAATATAGTTAGTTTTGAACTGTCTATAACTTATGAGCTCACTAAAACACCCTAAATCTCACATTGAAATATCTTAGAGATGTTTTAAGCCAAATAATAAACAATATTTTAAGAAGCTTTAAAATATTGAGGAGTTTTCCTTTACATTTGGTGAGAGATCCAACATTCTTAAAATAATTTTTTTTGTCATTAACATAAATAAAACTGACATAGTTTATATCCTTTTAATTTTGTGAAAGATTCCAAAAGAATCAAAAACAGATGAGAGATTTTCATGCACATTAACATTACCCTACCCCCCCCCCCCCCAAAGTTCAATATTAGTGAGCTAAGTTGGATTTAAGAATTAAAACATTTTAAACTATGTAAATGTATTTAAGGTTTTTCTCCTTTAAAGTGCAACAACAATAATAAAAAAAAAAAAGAAAATACTAACCCGGTCCTGAAGATCTTTCAGCTTCTGTGTATAAAAATCATCCGCATCCCTGCTCAACAATGCTGAAATGCGCTCATTGTTGTCAGGTAATTTGGTGAGTGAAGGAATCTAAGAAAATAAGAATAACAAAGTTCAAAACTATTGATTTGTTAAGCGAAAAATTTAATAGAAAATTCAACATATATGACATACATCCGATTTCCTATTTGAATTACCATATGGACTGATACTTAAACCCATTCATTCATAAGCCAACCAAAGTCTGACAAGTGTATGTGCTGCTCAAAAGCTGACCCCCATAAGTCAGTCTAAGCAATACGATGCCAAACCAAAGTAAATCCAGGATGATATTATGGTGGTGTTAAAAACAACTGAATAGTGGCGCCATCTACTTCTGGTATCTATGTTTTATATTATGTGGTAAACAGTGGTGAAAGCACATGAATCAACATTTTTAAAATGTCACATTAAAACTTAATTTTAAAAAGAAAATAAATCATTTAAATATGTAAAGCACTTTTTATTAATATTTAAATATTCTGTTAGAGTGTTCGAATCTTGCACAGCAATTTTTCCCAAATGTCCGGGCCACAAAAAAAATACCCTGTCGCCGAAAGAAGGGAAAAAAATGTTGAAAAACCAGAAAAAGCAACATGCATCTCTTTTATAAATCATTCACAGATTTCAGTTTAATTTATCTACAATTTTTGCAAGGGATCTAAATATCTCAAGAATGTATTGACATTCAAATCTTTTTAAGTTACCACAAGGCCAGTAAACAAAAGACAAAGAATAATTATAAAAATAACATGGCCACTGAGAAAAAAATAATTGGGAAACGCTGTTCAAATAAAACTTTTTCCCAAATTTGAAAATCTACTATAACAATATTTTATTTGCTTTTTCCCATGAGATAGACATACTTTAAGATGAATAAGGATCTAATATAAAAAGGTATCAAAAAATTTGTCAAAACAAATTACTGCATCTACTGCATCCTAGTCTATTTCCAGTCATCTTAACCAAGTCTTACATTTGGATCAAATAGGCAAGGGCAAGAGAGTGAGGCTGAAGAATTGAGCAAATCTCCCTTGCTTTAAACAAAATACAGCTCAAGTCAAGGCTACTACTCTAGTCGAAAATTGCCTAAGTCAAAGGACGAACAACAACATTAAAAAGTTTGGAAATTTAAGCAGACTAGATAAGCCTCATAATTTTATTGTTATAAGAACATTGTCCAAGAAATGTTCAAAAGGTTTATATATTACTATTAAAAAAAAACATGTAGTAAGATTTTATTACAGACCATTAAGACCTCTATAGTTAGTTTTCCTTTATGTTCATCTGAAGTGAAATTGCGTGTCCACAAATAAGACGATTTTGATGACATCAGAAAACTCTGAACTTTGTCTTATCATGAAACAACCAATCGGAAACAATTGTCTCAAAATTAACTGAAGATCAACTGAACAAATTTCTGAATGGTAAAATCTCACCATTCATTAGTGACCGAACAGTTTAAATGATAAAGGCTATTTTGTAAACAACCCTCATTCAGTGCATCTGATAATAGTAAGGAGGCCAAAGAAAGCGTTACAAAGACTCACTGAAAGTGGCACTAAAGGCCTTTAGCATAAACCCTACTCAATGGGTGCAGACAGCCCAGGACAGAGCCAGATGGAGAGCTGCTGTCAAGAAGGGGCCTAAATCCCATGACGCTAAGAGAATAACCACAGCTGAGACACGCAGGCTTGTTCGAAAGAGCAACATTAGGTCATCGTCTGAAGCAACTATTCCATGCCCACGGTGTCATAGATTATTCCGAGCAAGGATCGGTCTAACAAGCCACATAAGAGCTCACCGTAATCCCAACCCCCCCGCCCGCCCCTAACCGGATGATTCGATGGTCCTTGTCGACTTCGACAGACGAACAACACAATTGTAAATACTACAGATGACACAAATATACTCACTGGAGCTGCCTGGCTGCTCTCTGAAAGAAATACAAATAAGTAAAATTAAAATATCCAGTGATGACAAATAAAGTACAAACTCACTACAAGTATAACACAATTAATGGGGTCCGAAAAATCAGAGCATGTTAATGCTGTGAACTAAAAGTATTTAGAGATTTTCAAAAATTAGGATGACTTTTACCTACAATGGTTATTGAACTGTGTTAAAACATATGGGTCACAAATTATCAGTCAAGAAAATTAAGTCTAACTTTACGGAGTTGTTAAGGGCGTTGGGTAGAGTTAAATTCTCTTTGTAAGCCATGTGTTCCATGTCAGTTATTATAAGGTTTAAAAATAAACAATCAAAAATAGTACTGTAATTTTCATTACACTTTTTTTTAAAATCATAAAATGCGAAAAACCTAGCAGTTAACCGATTACTACTAGAATCTTTCTAGTGTGATAAGCTGCCAAGATATGGAGAAAAAAATTGCTTATTATAATATTAGTTCAAATGAGTTGTTAACTGCAGAGTGACTAGCACTGCTGACTACTGATGAAGCAGTAGGCTTGCTTGCAAGATGAATGAAACTCATCAGGTAAATAAAACAATTCAAGAAATTAAATATTACCTTTTGGTATATAGTTCATTCTTAATTTACAGGTAATCAAGTGCACAAGTGCAGGAGGAAGAGTAACTGCACTTAGATGTCACAAGTAGATGGAAAGGAAGATGGTGCACTCCATTACATGAAGAGATGAAACTATAGTGACACCTGAGCAAGATATGTTCACCACTGGTGCAATATGGTGCGGCATTTTAAAAAAAAATTATTAAAGCTGAAAGATCTGCACAATTTAGTGAATTAAAAATTCACTAAAATATGAAGATCCTTCAGTGTAATGTTCACTAATATATGAAAATCCTTCTAATCTGTTTCATTTAAAGCAAACAGCTGTCTCCCTAAAAACCAAATACATGGTTAGGGTTAGGTTAGCCACATGCGGGCAAGTGGGGTTAGTGGGGTGGAAAAGCATTTTTTTCTCCCGATGTCCTTAATGAACACCCCTAGTTATTTGAAGCAATTTATGTGTAGCGATATTTGTAGCTGATTTACTGTCCTGTTTATGTGAATCAACATTTGTTATATGAATCAATTAAAACCTAATGTTTTTGTCAGGAGACCGAATTTAAAAATTATTACCTGCACTTGCGTCATAACTCTCTGCTTGACCCTTTATTCTTCGTACAACAGCTTCCGAAATCTAAAATTGTTAGCAAACAAAGAATTTTTTAACAGCCATTAGTAAGCATATAAATTAAAAACAATGCAAAACTATATGTTGCAGCTTTAGTTTTCTGTCTCGTATACTATACATTACCAGTAAATTAAATATATAAGGCTGCTCTGTTGACCAAGTCTAAGGCACCCATTATATATAAACGACTACAATAAGCCAATGTGTCCAACTGAAGGAAAAAAACTGGTTTGGAACTATTTGTTTTGAACTGTCAACTTTTGCACATCACTAATTAATAAAGCTTTGCCTGAACGATGGTTTAATAGTGTTTGCACAGGGTAATCTCTTCTAATGAAACTCTGAGAATATATAGTATAGTCACATGGACTAAATCAGTGGTTCTCAACCTTTCTAGTGCCGCAACCCTTTAATACAGTTTTTCTTGTCGTGCCGACCCCCCGTCGAACAATTATTTTCGTTGCTACTTCATAGCTTTAAGGATATGTGTTTTCAGATGGTCTTAGGCGACCCCTGGAAAAGGGTTTGCGACCCCCAAAGGGGTCGTGACCCACAGGTTGAGACCCGCTGGACTAAATGGTTGCCCATGACAACGGCACAGCACACTGTAAATTAAGATAATTTATAATATGGACTCTACTAGGGTTTTAAACCCCAAATTAAAATAATATAGGTTTATTCTAAAACACAAAATGTCAAATATTTTGATGAAAATAGTGGTTATTATTGAATATTTCCTTAGTATCTGTATCTTTTGCCATTAAAAAGGGGCATGTCATATCCAAGTAAATTTGGGTACAGCGACCTACATAAACTTCAACATAATGTTATTGAATAAAGTTGACTGATATTAACCAAGGATTTTCTCAAAGCTTACTGACTGTAAATGAAAAAGAAACAGATTGAAATTAAGGCCAAGATGTCCTCCAAGGCATAAGGATGGAAAAGGAACACCATTGTGGGAAAAAATTATTATTTTAAGAATGATGTAGGACTATCATCAAAAATTAAAAACTTGGATTTTTCTAAGCTGATGTCCATTTCGCATGCAAATTGTTTAGTAGTCTCCCTTGCTTTACCCAAGTGCCTATAGATAGGTTACAATTTTATTATAATTGCAAAATATTATCCACTTTTTAAACTAGCTTTATTATTAAAAGTTGTATAAAATTAACTTTAAAACCACAAGTGACTTATAATCATAGAGAGTGACAAAATCACTATTGGCTAATTTTGGGTCAGCTGTAAGGCTGGTGAAGAGTTCCACTGAATATAGGTCACAGAGGTTGCACCTGGTCAACTTCCTCTATAGCCCAGTGTTACTGCTGAGTGTTCAAAAGATTAAAATTTTTATGTTTGTGTTTTCTTAACTTAATGACTATGAAAGTTGTTGTTTTCTTATTTTCTATTTTTGAAAGTGGGGGGTAGGGATTCCAGGGAAGGGGGGGGGGTGTCTCCACTCCCCAGCACATTACTTTATTTCTTATTTTCGCATTTCAAGAACGGGAACGTTATCAAATTCAAATACATTGTTCGGGTCCAACATATATAATTATAGGTAATTTCATGAAAATTTCAAAACATTTTTAAAAATATAAACATACTACAGCTGTATAGAGCCTGGAGAATAGATTACAAAACACCAAGATCAACAATCTAGCTCCAGAGATTCAAAAGTTATGAATTTTTTTAGTAAGGATCTCAAAACCACTTTTTCACTATGGGATTTTCCTCCACATTTTGTGACACTCATTTTGCTTCCTTTTTTTTAACGCCTATAACTTTATTTCGCGTTTGCTGGTCCAACAATTTGGAACGCCCTTCCACTCGATCTCAGAAACCTCCAGACACTGGAGTCCTTTAAAACCGATTTAAAGACACATTTATTTC